CCCCAAATTTCAGCACCTTAAGACAATATAAGTATTAATATGTTTTATGCTTATTATCACAGCGTAATACAAGTCATCAGGAAAGAATTTCTGCTCCTTGCAGAAATTCAGTGTCCCAGATTTCTTTCATCTCACGGTTTGCCCTGCGTGGGTCCTCTGTTCAGCCAGTGGATGGGGAGAGAGAATGAGGATTACATGGGAGTTCTTTTATAGGCCAGGTATGGAAACATGATACACCTCACTTATGGTCACATTTTATTGGCTTGTAAATGGCCACACTTAACTTCAAGTAGCCTAGAAAATGTAGTCTGGCTAAACACTCATGAAGAGCATGCTAAATTCCTGTCACACCTACTATGTGCCTGCTCTCAAGGAGATGGATATTTCCTTTAGTGAAGGAATAAAGTATATTCCATAAGGAAGATACTAAGATGTCTAAGAAGAAAGGAAGGAGCAGTCAGATCCACTTGCGGACAAGAGGTGTTGATCAGGGAAGGTTTCACAGAAGAGGGTGACATATGAACTAAAACTTGTAAAATTTTCTCAGTAAGTGAGGGAGGCACCCCAGCAAGCACAAAGGCGGGACGGTCCAAACAGAAGGCAGAATGGCGCAGTCAATAAGGCCACAAACTGAAGTGATGAAGGGGGAGTGGTGAGTGATGAAGCTCGAAAGTTGCATTGAGATCAGACTGTGAGGGGCTTAACGTGGCATCTAAGGAGATTGGATTTGTCTACATATCCACCAGGGCACCTTCAGTAGTTGTAGCAGGGAGTGACATGGTCATATTGCTGTTTTAGAATGGTACAGTCACTCATTTAACAATTATTGATCATCTCTGTTTTCTAGATACTGTGCTTGCAGCTGGGGATACAAAACAAGGAACACTTTCCTTGCACTGGTGGTAATCTGTTGGGTTCATGGGAGGGAGTAGGATTAAAAGTATAGTATAGAGATCAAACAGGAGCTTCTTTCTTATTCACAGTGAAGAGAGATGAGGCCCTGAATGTGAATATTGGCAATGAAAAATGGGAAGGACTGGATGGGTTCTAGAGATGATCTGTGGAGTAGAAGGTGATGAAACCGCTAGGCAACCGGAGGTTCTGCATGAGGATAAGATTTGCTGGAAAGGATCACAAAGGTTCCCAACCTGAGAAAATGGGAAATACCAAGGGAAGAGGATCAAGTTGGGCAGAAAGATTATGAGTTCCATCATAGACGTGATTTTTGAGATATCTATGTGGAGGTATCAGGAAGTGATTGGAAAAGAGTTCTGATGATCAGGAGAGGGGCCAGACTGGAGCTATGGTAGACATTGGAGTTACATTTTAGATTTCTATAGACTGCCTAAGAAGAGAACTCCAGGAAGTAAAAGATGGGTAAAAGAGGCAGCAGCCAGAAAAGGTTGACGAAGAATTGTTGGAATTAAGAGAGCATTTTGATAAAAATATGGTTGATTAGCTGTTTCTTTTAAAAGGAGAGAGTATAACAGGATAAAACTGAGATAATCATTACGTTTGGCTGAGTTTTTAGGGACATTACATTATAGAGCTTTAGGGACCGTTGCTAAAGCTGTGAGGGCAAAAATCTATAGGAAATGAGAAAAGGCAGTAACTTGGTTGAAAGAAGAGTTAATATTGCACAGGATTTGTGAGGCTTCAATGTGTTTATAGTCTAAGGATAGAGAAGAGTGAGTTTGAACCTTAAGAAGCAGAAAGAACCCTAAAGGATATGAAAGGAATGGGTTCTAAAGCACAGGAGGATGGATTGTCTTTCTGAAACAAGGCAAAAAAGAAGTAAAGATTGATAAACGTTTGGAGATGAATGGGAGTGAGGCTGAGAAAATACAAGGGAGTTAGGGGAGCTGGTGTGAGGTTATTGGCACTTGTAGTGACGAAAGCATAGTAAGTTGTAGGAAGTGAGAATGGAAACCAAATATGGATGCTGACTAAAGAGGAACGACATGGAAGGATCCATGTAAATTTCTAAATCATTGGTTTTTAGTAGAGTCAGTTACATTTATATACCATTTTGTAGGGAGGCTCTGCAGCAAAAATAGAAAAGTGGTCAGGTAACAGCTTGGTAATAGCTTGGCAAAACAACAAAGGAATCAGGAAAATGAGGATTTTTATAAGTGTGGTATTGAAAGGATTGTCTTGGGTTGGGAAGGAAGCAAATCCTGGAGGGTGCTGTTAGCCTGGGGGCGTTTGGAAGAACCAAGGGATTAGAAGTTGTGAACAAAGTTAGTGAAAGATGTCAGCACCAGGGCCGGCCAAGTGGCTCGTTGGTTAAGAGTTGGGAGTGCAAACTCTGAGCAGCAGGGCCACCAGTTTGGATCCCACATAGGCCAGTGACACTGTCCTCTGCAGCTGGGATGGTGAACAACAGCTTGACCTGGAGCTGGGCTGTCGTGAGTCGCCAGCGATGGCGTAGGCTGCAGTGGGGTTGCAGTGGGCTCCCTAAAGCTACCGTGAGCGGCAGGCAGCCAGCATGAGCTGCCAAGAGCCGCTGTGAGCGGCCGTCCAATGGCCGGCGAGCGACTGCCTCACTCGGGAAGAGCACAGTGATAATACCGACATGGTCCAGGGAAGCAACGTCCTCCACATCTAGACTGAAGAACGAAAGGACAGCAACTTATCTGTTTCCCTTCCCCGATTCCCCAATGCTGTTCCCTCCTGCAATTCCCCAATAAATTTAAAAAAAAATAAAAAATGTCAGCACCTTTGGTAAATGATGTGCTTTATAGTAGATCCCGCTGTAATCCTAAGGGATTGACGATGAATCCTAAGAATAGGTCTTAACCACCTACCACTTTTGTTCTTTGGTATCATAATTTGTGGTTCATCTAATGAGATTCAATATCACCATCTGTAAAATGGGATTGTCACACGTTCTAGAGAATATTTAAAAAATTATGATAAATTAAATCGCATATGAATAACTATACATTCTTCCCTATTCATATTTAAATAATAATATAAAGCAAAGATAAAAGAAGGTATTTTTCAAATTCCCTTAATAATCAATGAAGAATTTATCCTAATGTGTTTATCAATTTGAATAAATGAATTTTCTTCAAGTGAATTCACTTAGATTCTTTGTAGAGAACATACTGATTATTAATAAAAATTTCCAATCTGTGCTTTTCAAATTAATTATTATATATGTTATTTTGATACAATTCAAAGTTGTTGTTTTTTATGTACACGTACACATATACACATACTTGGGGATCTTAATTGACAGCATGAAGTTCAGTTACATAAAATATTTAACCACAGCACAAGAGCCATTTGCAGTTTTAAAAGAACATATAAAACAATATTCCAATGAATTGTCCATGTATAGCAACAAATCAGTAAGAAAGGACAAACCGGCATAGTGAAATAGATAAATCAGATTTAGGCAGGGTAGTTTATTGAATTTAAATTGTGCCCAGTTGGCCCAAGAGCTATATATAAGCAATCCATCTTACGTTGTTAATGGGGGTTCTTGAAATCCACCTGATGTTTGCATTATTAAATTTCAGCCTAATGAGCACTGCTAATACATATTGAAGATGGTTGTAAGGAGCAGAATGTGAATCTGAGCGGGATAATTTGAAAGAAACATAAGCTGAGCCTTTTACATGACTCAAGGGGTATATCTACAATTACACATATAACCAAAATTGAATTTAAATGGAATTTCTATTATCCTTGTCCTTCTACCAGGGAGAATAAAGTGTAAATGAAGTAAAAGTCTTTAGAGTTACTGGTGGTTTGTTTTTATTATCTAATTTAATAGATTCTTGCAGTGATACAGAGTGGCATAAAAGTTTTAATATTTCATGACTTTAAATGCAAGCTAAGTATGTATTAAAGCTTGTAAATGGAAACAGATGTCAGTGTAATTGGATATCGCACCTCACAACACCATTGTGTGAGTTTTATATTTTAAGAAAGTGTCGATATTAATGGTGAAGAAACATCAAACTTTGAAGAAAAATAGTTATATATGTGGTATGCATTTTCTTCCAATTCCCCCTGTAAGCCAGGTTTTATACTTCTAAAGGGTATGTTGATTTTGCATAGGAAAAATATATGCAGCAAAAACTGACGGGTAAGTATGTTTATTTTTTAAATCATAGTTTGCAGTTATCATGATGATAAAGGCTCATCCAGAGTTTAATGCTGGCACAGTTTGATTCTTTTTCTTTTGACGAGGCAATACTTTTTAAACTTAATATTTCATCAACTATAATGCTATTAGAGACTTATTTTCACTTAGTTCACTCATCAGGCAGTGAGACGGCAATAAAGGCGAATCGCCCCTTTGAGACGTTAACGCTTTGGAATAAATGATGTGCTAGAACAGAAATTTAATTAATTTACAGAGTATATTGATAGTCCCTTGTTACTGTGCTGTATATTTTTAATCTTCTTTAACATCTGTAGTAAAGTGTTTGAAAACCCCTGCAGTTGAGCAACTAGTAGATAATTAAGTAATAAGGGAAGAGGTTTCTAGAGGGAAAAAGATTCTTTTTACCAAATGCTGTCATAACATGAATAAAGAACTGCTACTATGATATGCACTGAAAAAAAAATAATATGCTACCTAATTTGATCCTGTTCTAAAGATATTGCAAGCTTCTTATATTTAAAATGTGAATTGTGGCTTAAGAACTTTTCTCTGAAGTTTAGTGCAGATGCATTGCACTGACAAATCAGATGACCAACAGCTTTTCCCAGTTTCTATGCCATTGTTTAAACTCATGTTGCTTAAATTCATTTTCCTTTATGTATAGAGATTAGCTTGAACCTAAGCTTCAAAGATTCTAAACAAATATTCTACATATATTGAATAAGGATTGTAACAGATGTATTTCAGATCTTCAGCCATTTTTTTTTTCTTCTGACAACTTCATGAAAAAACATAAGGAATTTCTTTTCCCTTTCCCCAATACTTCCGCTTATCATACAGACATAAAGTAAATGCAGACATTTCATTGTTTTCGTTTCAGCAAAAGCTGATGAAGCATTGAAAGCCAAAGAAAGAAATGAAGAAGAAGCAAAGAGAAGAAAGGAAGAAGGTAAAGGCATGTGTTCCTTTCATTTCAAAGCAGTCATTATAATGAAGAGTCGCTATGTGGCATGATTTCTTCATTCTCTGGATAAACCATAGCATATAATCCTACAGGGAACCTCATGCTATTTCATGAACCTAAACTATGACACAATATCACACTATATTCAGTGTTTTGGGTACTAATTAATGTCTACTAGAATAACATTCGTTTATAAGCATCCTAGAATATATTATGGGAAAACTAGGAAGGTATCAAATTATAAAGTAGAGCTGTTGGTTGGTTTGTTTCCTTCTGACATTTTATAGTTAAAAGTTTTTCAAAATCAGTCATAGAAATGGATTGAACTTATCTTTACAGTTTTAAATGTTTTCTTTTGATGAAGAAAAGTCCCCTTGCCACAAAAAACTAAATAAAAAAGCTCTTAAGAGGGAACAATAAAATATGAAATGTCAGAAATAGTCATAATTCAAATTAAGAAATTCATGTCATAGTTTTTTAGATTAAATGTTTTTTACTAATATTGAAGCCACCGCCCAAAAATATAATGCCAAGAAATCTGACAGATTTTGATCTCCGCTAACAAATTTTTATTTCCCCTTTAGTTTGCTATGATTTATGTGAGTAAAATTTTGTGGTTTTCCTTCACAGAAGCTTTATATAGACTGTTGTAAATTACAGTGCTTAAAGCAAGAGCCAAACAAATCTTTCTCAGTGAGTTAAACTGATGACACAGTAGGACTGGCAGTCATGTCTCTTTAACTGGCTAATTAGCAGAGTAACTATTTTCTCTGTGAACTTTCAAGAGGTTGAAGCCCGATCATCTGTGCCAGAATATCGGCTTTGATTGATATTGTCTAAACATGAAAATTGAAATTTTGGCCATTGCATATGTCTTTTACTATGACAACCAGAAAAGAATTTTCATTCTCAACTTCCAATTGTGAGCTGAGACCCAGTAGAACCTAAAATGTTTGAGTATGATGGTTTAGAATGCTTAAAAGCAGAATTCCATCAGAGCCATTTTCCCAAAGCAAAATAAAAGAAAAAGAAAAAGAAAAAACCCAACCTGTGTAGATTTAGGTGATAGAACCCTGCAAGATAAGTAGATTCTAACTAAATGTGGACTGATTTATAGGTATAAATGTGTAGTGTTCTTACCTGATATGACCCGCCTAAGTCCTGACTTTATGTCCTGTCTTAGATCAACTAGTTTTATGGTAAATTTAGAAAACACGTGAATTCCAATGGCAAGAATACGCAGTAGAAATCTCTTCTTTTGGCTTTCTGCAGTGCACATTTTGTTAGTGGAAGCAATCTATCTGATTTCAGTTATGCTTATGGTTACCTGGAGTACAAATAGATATACTACTAGATGCAAAATGGTCTAAGCAAATTATAGTATTTGAGTGCTCTTATGTGGTATTCTGATCAATGTAACTAATTAATAACATAATAGCCCTTATAAAGTGCTGTGGTACTGTAAATTACAAGTGTGGTATTTATTACCAGCCAACAAAGTGGCTATATCTTGAGTAGTTATTAGTCTAATCCCATTAATTCAAGTCATAACTGGGGTTATAATCAATTGAAGAAGGATGAAACTGATGTGATAACTACAGGTATTGAAATTTCTAGGTGATTTATTATTTTGAAAACTATATAGTATGAATGCTTTCCTAGTGTAAGAATCTTTTAAAGTACTTCAGAACGCTACATTTACAGTTACAGTTGATACTTCTAATAGTCTGTTTTTCTCATTGAATTAGTTCTAAACATCTTTAAAAGGATATTTTGTTAACAATTTCTTAAGTAACTATAGATACTTGAATGTTATATTGTAATTCTTTTGAAAGTATTCTTCATTTAGACTTTCACTAAGTCATACTGCCCTTGTGCTTAGTCTGTGATATACAATAACCTTTTTTCATTTCAGTACCTGAGAATGGTTGGAAAAGCACATCCCTATAATCATAGCTGTTTTAATTAGCATCTTTATAACCCTGTCATCCTAACTAGAATATAGATTCTAGGATTGTACAGGATTTAATATCCACAATGCCTAGCACATGGTACATAGTACTGTTTCTTAATTTTTGAATGAATGAATGAATGACCAGTTTACCCTTCATTCTTTTAAATCCATGCTTAAGTAACTTATCTTGAGCTTGCGGTTGATTCCAAATAACCTAGGTGAAAGTGTAACCCAACTCTGTTATATCCGTTTTCTAAGGCAGGACCTCATCCATTAGTCTGTTTCTCAAAAGAATTACAGCCGTTTGAAAAGAAACCAAGGAATTTCAAAATGCTACTAATATTTGCTAGTATGGGTTTATCAAGTCTTTACCTGAGATCACTGAATTTTCTGTGCATCCAAAAAAACATAAGAAAATTATTACCACAAGTGTTGAAGGGACATTTTATGCTAAAATAACCTAATGACACAAATTTCAAAAGATAAAACATGTGTTTCATTCAGTAGGTTTCCTTTGTGCTTATACTTTGTAGGTAAAAGTAAATCACTAGCTAGATTCTTTGCTGTTGTTTCTTCCAAAATTGTTTTCTCATGGATTGTCTAGAGACATGAATGCTATCAAATTAACCTTTCTAAAAATGATTAATGTATAAAGCTACATTTATTTTACTTCATATAATTAATCTAGCTGCAAATTGAAACCTGAGATACATCTGTATGTGTATGTGTATATATTTCTGCAACTGAAAGAATAATGTTTTATTTCCAATCTATAAGCCACTAGTAATTCACTCTATCTCATCATTTATACAGTTCATCTCTTAATTTCTCAGCATGCTGATATGCAGCAGAGGGTTGAAAGTATTGTTAAAATGTAGATAGATGTTAATCTGCCCAGCTCCCTTTATCTACTGTCTGTTATCTCAAAAAAAAAAAGCTATTGTATTAGCATAGCAAGATCTGTGCCTTGCAAATATGTTCTGACTATTATGCAATCCTTTCTTTTGAGTGTTCTTAAATCAATATCGCAATTATATGTGCAAGTATTGTATCCAAGAGAGAAGTCAAGCTACTCACCAAAACTTGTCCAGAGTCACTGCGTTGCCCTCCACCGTTTAAACAGTGGGACCCCATTTAGAGTGCTTTTCATGGTCCTTATACTGATCAGTAGATTTTCCACTTACTGAATACCACCTAGTACATTAGTATGGACCCTCCTTCTTGAACCATTCACTCTAACTCTTTCCATTTTTGTTGAATTATGTAAAGGTTATATTATTTAATAGTAAAAGTCAACTGAACATTTAAAGTTTAGGTTTATAGTTCCCTTCTTTAAAAATAAGCACTTTTTAAATTCTAGATTATATTTTAGGAAAAATAAATAGTATGAAATCTTTCAATCTGTTTTCTTTCTTACTCTTTAACCTCACAAGTGTTTGGCTTCAGCTTTTGCTTTTTCTCCGTATGTGTTTGAAAATGTTCAGACTCCATGTAATTAATAATCATTTCAACTTTTATCCTTTTGATTTTTTTGTAGTATTGAATGCTTTAGCATAACTGCTTAGGTTTTTTGTATTTTATTTTTATATTTAATATGGCATGCATGTATGGATTCTAATTATGTTTTAAATCCAGTTGTGAGCATAATAGTCTTCCTTTGCATTTTGACTTTTCTCTAATATGAATTTCCTATTTGTGGCATAAGCATAGTAGCTTTTGAATCCTTTTCCCCCTTGTGTTTATTCAAAATAGCTCTACCCATCTGTTAGTTTTCTACTTCAAATATTTTTGTTTCCAAAAGTGTTAGGCAACCCATTCTAAATTATTCATGGAAATGGTGGACAGTGATAAAATGGACGTAGTATGAGGTAGTTCAAGTCTCATTTGTTTAAATTGAAATGCATCAAACCTTTTGTTACATCTGATTGACAAGAGGTAAAATAGATTAGCCCTAATTTTATTTTGTTGTGGTTTATCCCTTGGCAAAGGTGAGGGTAAAGGTGCTCGCTGCTGAAAGGGAAAACAGGGGCCAGGTAATGTTCTAATTCCTGAACATATTTTAACCCTCCTGATCCTCATGAACTCGCTGAGGTCTGTGCTGTTATCATCTCTGTCCTGTAGGGGGGATAGGAAACGAAGGCACAGCGTGTCTAATATCACTGTAGCTAGTACGTGGTGAAGCCAGGGCGCAAACCGGGGCAGTATGACTCCAATACACATTCCCCTACTTTAAACAGCCTACATAAATCACAACCTTTACAATTAGTGTTCAAATAAATGCTTTAATTCACTCTTCTTCTGTCCTTTGCTTCCTCTCTGGATCTAACCCTCTAGCTCTTAAGCATTTATTTGCTGCATTTTTCATGCCCTCATATTAGGTGGCCTCGCTTGGGTTTCTGGGACACCCAACAGGTGAGGTACTCCAGTCACAGGCATGTTTTGTCAAAGTGTCCGTGTCCTTTTTTTATAATCTCTATCTGCTTTTCTCCCTAGTGACTGGCTGGTCTCTAGTGACTGACTCACTTTTCAAACCCATGCCAGCCTTTTGAACCTGGACCAGAGCCGGACCTCAGTGTCTCGTTTCTCAGGTCCGCTTCTCAGAGGTCCCAGCTCTCCCCGTGCTTCCAGGTCCCTGGTGTAAAGCACACTCAGTACCCAGTCTTATCACACTTGGGAGAGAACTGTTATGGTCCCTTTTTTCCCTCCACTGTGGTTTCTTGCCCAAGACCAGAGAAGAAAATGCATGTTTGGGGTTCTGAAGTATCCTTTATTTCTTCCGGAGTCCCTTTATAAGAAGGTTGGAGTGAAGTTAGAAGGGTGAAGTTAGCAGGTGCCGGGTTAGGAATCACTGCTTATTCAGTTGGCATGTTGATATCAGTAGGTCAGATAGAAATCAGGGTTGTCCTTTTTGTCTTGTCCTGAATTGGCTAACCATTGTAATATGATTTCCTTGTTAGGTTTAAATATTTGAAAATTTACCCCCCCTTCCCCTCCTTGTCTTACTTTATTAGGCAGTTCCATTCCTAGATTT